AACGATTATTCATAGATATGTATGTTTAACGATACGCCATATTCCCATTATAAAGTATCCGAATTGAGGAATCGAAAGTATATTACATATTTTATTAGAAGACATTGTTAGTCTCGCCACGGATCGCGGTTTCGTTCTCGATCGCGAGGCATATGTCGCGAACGGTTGCCATGCAACGATGATCTGTTGAACGACTGCGGCGTCGATCGATAGTCATCGTTTATTGTCGAAAGAAACGTGTCGAAATAAAACGTATCGTTGTTTTTAACCGAAAATTCTGTTTTCTTGCTTTCAAGATAATATAGTTTGAATTATTTATGAATATTCGTTCACGTGTTTTCATTCGTCCTATTTACGTATCGGACTCAGAGTGAAAATTAGTAAAAACTGACAGAAAAAGTGATAATGAAAACTAATAATGGAAGATGACAGTGAAGTTACTTGAACGTTTCTTGAGAGTTTCTGTATGGATTTATTTATGCTATAAGTAAGAATCGGTGGATCGACCCGGTGACAGAGATGCATTTTCGTCGTGATTATTTACGGTTCAATGGGTGAGTTGCATTTAAATTTGTTAATTATTCAAATTCAAATTTTTATTTGTTGAATGGAAAAGTTATTTCATTTTTTTAAAATAAGAATTTGTTCTTTTTCATCATCACAATATTTAACGATAATAATTTTCCATATTTTATCTATTATTTCTTTGCGATAACAAATAAATGTATCAAATAAATTCGACTTATTCTGATTACGTTAGTAAGGACTAATTTCTTTATTTCTTATGCATTAATAAATGATAATTCAATAATAATTCAGATTGTTTCGTTCGTTTTTCAATGTAACTTTCATCTAACAGCTTTCTATCATACCGACGCTATACCGACGTGGTATCGATACGCTTGTTCACAATCACGATCGACCGTCATTTTCAAAGCTGTCGCTCTCGCGTCTGAGCGCGCGAAATCCTCGCGCTCTGATTGGTTCGGGTTTTTCCTTAATAATTCAAAAACGAAGCTTCAAACCCCATTTTCGCAAAGGAAAATCTTGTTCAGAATGACGTCCTCTACTACCCCTTTCAGGGAGTAACACTAGTTACGGGACACCCTGTATATGTCCGTTTCATATCGATCTAGGAGAATCGAATTTTTGACAAATGAACAGCTAATTCGTCGCTCTGGCCCACTGTGGGACGCGTGCATTTGCACTGGTGTCCGAAAACAGAAATCGTCCGTGGTTGTGAGCGTTGTTTCGCGGGGGGGCCACTTTCCCTGGTCGCCCTTCCCCACAGGGAACCTCTTCCCAGTTCCCCAACCGACCCGTTACAAACTTCGAGTAATTTAATTTGCAAATAATATGTCAGTGGGGATTTTTTGTATGTTCTTTCTATTGTCAAAACAAAGGTGTATACAAAAATTTTTGTTCCTCGTTCTTCTACTTTTGCTTTGAAAAATGCAAACGAATATAAGGATAGATGAAACTTACGTGAATTTCCTTTTTGCTAAAGTCCATCTCATTGGTGCTGATATGTCGGTAGCATAAACCTTTTCAAAAAGATGAGCTACATGAGCAGTAGTTGCGCCATCACCTGCTCCTAAATCTATCACTGAATGCCATGGTCCTAAGAAGCAACTAGCATCCATCAGCTTTTTGAACTGTTCACAAGAAAAGACGTGCATGGAACCGCGACCGAGTAACCTGCAAACATTTATTTAATTTCATTGAGTTATTTCATTTCATTCTATTTTATTTTCATCCGTTGTCATGATACCAGCAAACAGAATTACATAGAAACATTAAATGTATATGTAATGGAGGAAATAATTGATATTAGTATATTACTTATAATGTCTAGCTATTATGAATACTGTAACTAAATCTGACCAAAAAGCAACAAAGAATAATCCTCGATGCGAAAAACTTAGACCGTAATAGAAAATTCTTTCTACGTTTCGTACTCGTCGGACCTGTCGTTGGGATCGTAGATCCCCGGCTATCGGTTTCGGCAGGCAAAGTCAAACATGCAGCACTTGCCGAAACAATAAGACCGTTTTTATGACTTACTATTTAAATCCAGACGTCTCTGCTGAAAATCAATAAATTTCTAAGCGTTATACAGTATTGATTCATAACTAAGCAACAGTTTTGTGATTCGTAACAAGCAACACGCTCGGATCTGGTGAGTAATACTGTATTTAGAAAACTAATCAAAATCGGGTAAATACATTAAATCTTAATGAATTCGTCTTAAAAAGCACTATCGCCTGATCGTAGAAAATATAGTGCCATTTAAAAAACAAAAATTCACCATCATATCTTTTACATTAATAACATTCAAAAATTTTTGTTTACGATAAAACATAGCCCCTTTTATCCTGCAATTTCCATATAAACACTTTTTCGTGTCATCAATAGTTTATGAATTATCGCGCTGTCACACTTAGACGTGGACACCCTGTATGTAAATTTCATTAAAATCCGCGTGTAACAGCTTGGTGATGTCCCTTGTCAGTAAATTACGAAAAGTTTTAGAGGTTTTGCGGACATATCATTACTCTTAGGTTGAAACAATGTTCTCATTTTAAAGAAACTATTGAATACTTAGATCGAGAGGTCAGCACACAAGGAATGAGGCCAGGGCAACGGAAAATACACTGCTCAAAAGAAATATGGCATAGAAAAAATTTAGGCAAAAATTGGACAAATTTGACTGATGATAACTCCGTGAAAAATCATCGCAAAGTTATGCTCTTTTTTTTAAATTAAAGCTTGAGATCTCTACTTTAAGACCCTGTAGTTTGATTTTAGATTTGATACATCCCTACCACAATAACACCGTAAATGTGAGGTCATGTTTGCAATATTGAAAATTACAAAGTTTGACGAAATGCATGGACTTGCCACATTTTTTTGGGGCGATACTGTTTACAGCAGCA